GGAGCAACTTTAGCTCCTCCCACATGTTGTAGCACAGCCCTCTATTGCTTTAGTATATTTGCAAATAGATGAGTGTCTACTTGTGCTATAGGAGGACCTGTTTCCAAGTTCTTTTTTCCCTTCTTACAGTGATGAATTAACCCTTTTTCACCTTTCAAAAGTAGTACATTTTTTCCTCCCTGATTTGGCAGCCCTCCATCACAGCTACGTTTTCCTGGATCCATGCTACCGTTGACCTATAGGGGTAGGCTTGTGACCATGGGAGATAGACCCTTCACCGGAGCCAGACAAAGAATATGGGAGTCACTGCTAGTTGAAACACCTCAGTGTGTTCAAAGCCAAATGTAAACTCCACCTATTTGCCCACAACAGTATCCTCCATTTCCACAGAGTCATTCGTTAAACAAAAGCAAAAACAAAAATAAAACCAAAGCCTGCTTGATAGGAGGGAAGGAAACGAGAGAATATCGTCATCTTTGGAAAAATGGGAAGTGCTCAGTGACAAAGGCCATACACATAGACTCATAACTGAATAACATAACTGAATGGGTGGCTGAACTGGTTGATTATCTTAAAAATAAAGTAACTGATAGTATCTGCTTTTGTAGATATCTGAAACTCTACTCTTCTATTTAAAAAAAATGAAAAGATAACTTTTCTCACAAGTGGCTGCCTCTAGCACTCCCCTAGATTATCTTCCCTTTATTTCAAAGGAAAGTCTATATTGTGTCTTAGCAGACCATGACTAAAATTTGGGGGTTATGGAATTACTGTATGAAGTCTTCAACTATGATTAAACATCCTGGGCCAGATTTCAAAGTTTGACCCTGGCAACTGCACAGAGATATTCATAGGTACCCAACTTAAGTGTTCAAAATCCTGTTGCCTAACTGGCTATGTGTGCATGAAAGTCCCTTATTTGCATGCACACTTCAGGGATGTACATCCAGAAATTAGGCATGTACAAAGGTAAGTGCACGATTTCATCCCTGCAGATCTTGCCTGCAGTGTCTTTTATGAGCAACTAGTTTAAAAGAGATCCAAGATCTTGTAGATTTTGTAATGATATGCCCCTGTTTATGGTCTCTGTGTCAGTCTCATGGGAGTTGTTACTGTCTGCTCATATGGCTGTATCGATTTTCTTCTCATCTAATTTCACTCACATACAACACCACCCCTTTTCCCCCTCCAAAAAGGCTATTTCTCTCAAACCGATTCTTCTTAGCAAGGTTAACCAGACAACTAAACTCTGAACAAACACTTGAATTTAATCTATCATTGTTTTCTGACTCTGGGTTTAATAGAGGTCAGAAAAAGAGATTCTTTAAAGCGATCGCAAGCTTATTTTTCCAAAAGCACATCAGTAGATTAACATTTTGCCAAAGAAAATACAGAAATACAGTATTTCTTTTAATACATTTCAGCTAAATAAAGTCTTAAGACTACATGGCTTGGCTCAGATAGGGTGTATTCAGCATAAGGTACAAGTCATGTAACTTCTGCTATCTAAAAATTCAGCTTAAATGAGCTTCATTTCAGCCGTGCAATTTATTCCACACCTGAGGTGAAGTAGCTCGTCCTTTGCTCTCTTCTCTGATGTAGAGCCATTAGAGAGGGAACTGCCAATGTGTTTGTGCAAATCTTTTTGCTTATATAAAGATCCCATTTAAACATCTCCACCCAAGAAATTCATGTTGATTTTGGACAATCCCTGGATGATTTTATTCTATAAAAATAAATAAATAATCATATAAACCAATGACACAACCCTGCTCCCATAGATTTCATTCCATTATAAAGGTAACGCTTGCACTGGAGAGACATTTTGAGATAACATGAGACCAGGACAATTTTATATGGGGCCAAAAAAAATTAAAATAAATGTAAATATATATGAGGATACATGATGATGTGGGATGGTCTAGAAGTCTTGGAGTTTGGAATGTGTGGATTATTCATGATTGGCAAAGCCGCGAGTGATTTCAGCATCTGCCAGTAGGGGTTTTATGGGTCCAATCCAGTAAATTTCTTATTTGTTCAAATGCTATTAACCATTGATTTGTGGCCATTCTTATTCATCTGTGAAAACAGCTATTGAAATCAGCAGGATTCCACACTGGCGCACATCTGCTTGTGGGATCAGGGCCATAGTTATTTTCCATGCTGAAAGCAGTTTCATATTTCTCTCTTGTACTATTATGTTTAGAGATGAAAGTTACTAGAATAATCACTGCTGTCAAACAAGGGAAGAAAATCTCATAGAAAAAATAGAAAATTTCAAACTGGTTTGTTCGATAGGTCTCAGTCCTGCCGTCCTTAGTTCGATTTTCTATTGAAATTAATACGTGTTTTACCTGAGTGCAGGATCAAGGCATAATCTGTAATTTATTGAAAGTTAGCATATGCATCCTAGAAAACTCCAGTACATGTTTATCCTCCCATGCAGTGTTTGTCATACTTGTGTAATTTGGCTTCACAATATATCAGCGTTTGAAAAGAAAAGAACACGCTTGCCGCCTAAAATTAGGCATCTAAATAAGTGGCCATCCTTTCAGTGGTTCTGAGCAACCACAGCTCCTACTGAAATTAATGAGAGCTGTGGGTACCTTAGCATCTTATAGGTCAATTATTTGGGTGTCTAAATATGGATTTAGGTGCCTATCTTCGGGAAGGCTAGTTTGAAAATGTTGGCACTATGTTTGCCCATAGTTGTTATTGATGTATGTATTTACGCAACTGTTTTAGTATGTCCATTGTATCAGGTAATATACATACGCATGGTGAGCAACTTTCCCTGACCTGAAGTTTGTAATGTAGAAAGACACAGTATCTGAACCCCAAATGCTCAAAAATCATGACTCATGCCCCACAGAAAATCATGAGATAAATTTTGTATTATTATTATTATTATTTATGCATGTTTTCCATTTGCCATCTGGTGTTTTGAGCTTTGTGGTACATATTTTTGAGCTTTTCACTATAATAACGAGAGTTACAGATTTATTTTTGTTTTATTTTATAAAATGAAAGCTGAGATTCCCATAAAATCACTTCTTTCTAGGTACCGGGGCTTTAAGTAAAACATCCGATATTACAAAACTCTCAATAAAATCCACAGAGCGAGCAACACAAGACAAATAAAGGATGGGATCAGAAACAGGCTTATAGAAAGAAACTGATTTGCCTAAGTTCCCGCAGTAGGTTAGTGGAAGAGCCTGGAATAGAACTCAGGTGTACTGAGTTCCAGTGAAGTGTCATGCCCTACCCATGGACCACGTTGCTATTCTGAATCTGACATGTTCTGTCTGTACTTTTACTGAGATGAGTGAGGTGGCCAACTATCTCCTGCATGAAGTTAGGCTGTCGAATAAACAAATAAAAAGTAGTAAAGACAACTTTTTGCTAAAAACAGAAATTAAGATGAAAAACAATGTTTTGGCCTTAGGCCCTTATTTGAAGTTTTGGAAAACAGAACAAGCTTTTTCATTTTCCATTACCTGCAGAAAGCCTCATTGGCAAAACATTGCTTCTCATCTAATTTTCTGTCCCTCACATGTGTTTTAATAAAACTTTTTTTTTTTTTCATTTAAAGCAACCTAATATAAATCATACCAGGACATGACCAATAAATAACAGTTTTACTAGGAGTATTAGTTTGGTTGAACAAAGCCCTTTCTGTGGCAAACTCTGTGGTAATTTGCTTGAGGTTTCAGGGGGGAGATATATTAGGATACATTATTTTCTTTTAACAATTATCATTTTGCATCAAAAGGTCATTTTATATAGGCAACCAAAAAGGTAGTCTAGTACAGTATCAGCTCATTCCATCCAGGAAAGTGGCTACTACATGCACAGTAGCTACAGTACATTAATGTGGAAAAAAAATTAGTATTTAAAACTGCTGACTGTGATTGACAAGAAATTTACTGTATGTGGATTTAAAACTTTGATGGCGGCATTAGCAGTATTGTGGACTATATTCTCATTTATGCTAAGCCCCCTTTATATTGTGGAAAGGGCCTTTAAAGAGGGTATAAATGTCATTTATTCTATGTATATTATTGTAAATGAAAATTTGGCCCTGTCTACGTTTTTCTCTCTCCCTCTCTCTCTTTGGAAATTAAATATATCTGAGTGCCTCACAGTCTTTAATGTATCTATCCTCACAAAACCCCTTCCTGGTAGGGAGATGCTACTATCCCAGTTTTACAGATGGGGCACTGAGGCACTAAGATACTTGCCTGGGGTTACACAAAGTCTTTGGCGGAGCGGAGAATTAGCAGTGATTGGTGAAGTCTAAGAACTCGTGTAAATTTATTTACAAGTTTATTAAAGTGGACTCAAAACAATCTGTGTATATCTGTGTGTGTGTGTGTGTGTGTGTGTGCGCGCGCCTCTGTGTTTTTAAATGTGAGATTTTGGTAGGGTTATTTTGAAGGTGGGAAGCATGGGGTTGAAGAAGTGGATTATATTATATAATGCACAGAAGGTCCTAAGGTTCATGGTCATTCTGACCTTTTCTGGAAACAAGTTCCACAGCTGTGGTCTGTTTGGAGAAAAAGTTCTATTTTGCGTGTGTTCATTTTGATCCTTAGGTTGCTGGTTCCATTGTTCATGTGGTACATCGCTGTTGTGGTAGGTCATGATCACACAAGGTAAATTGTCCCTGAGGAACCTGAGTCAGTCCATAGAGTACTTTGAAGATCAGGACCGAAGCCTTGAATTTGATCTTGAATTGAATGAAAAGCCATTGAAAAGAGAGCATCAGGCTGGGATGTTGTGCTCTCAGTTCCCTGGGTTGCTAAGTCCTTCCCTTTCCTCAGTTAGACGCAACATTTCACATCCTGTGCAGGTCATAATGAAGGTCTACGTTTATCAGTGGGTGATCACTCAAAATTACAAATTATTTTCATTTCAGAGAGTTTCCTAGAGAAGTGGGGGGAGATGAGTTAGTGGAAATGCCATTAAATAAAAGAATGTGTATTTGTTTTATTTTTCAGACACGGATATTAAAGAACTAGAGGATGTCTTTGGACTTCACGGACAAATTGAGCACAAGTTGGACTTCCTCAGAAAGAACGTGCCAAAAGATATGAAGCTTGTGCTGATTGGTCATTCAATCGGTTGCTACATCACCCTTGAAATGATGAAGAGGGCATCAGAACTTCAGGTATGTCAGCCTTGGGGAAGGGAAGTTATATCGCTCAGCAGAGCATCCTCCAAGCTTAGCATTTGATTAATCAACAAAGACGATACTCTGATTCCATATCCTTTGTTTAGAAGCAGCATCCCCTCTACTTTCAGACCAAGTTCTTATTAAAGTAAATGACGTTCAGTTACTTTTCATGAGTGTCTGACTCCAGAAGAGAGGAGAGTGATACAGAAATATATGATCTGATTTTTCCACTGTAAAGCACTGTGCGTAGCAATTTACACCCCTGCAAAAGAGATATGGGGAACTGCTGCCAACTCAGAATAGTAGTAATTCCCTATTTGTAAGATGAGGTAGGTATTTATGCAGGACTGATCTATCTCAAAGGATGCCATGAACGTTAATTAACTTGAGTAATCCAGTTTGGTAATTCAGTAGTAAATGTCATTATTGGCAGTGATGCAATTTGATATGTTTACATTTTAATAACATTATGCAATATATAATTTGAATGGAAGATCACATAACATATACGCTGCCGCATGTCATGGATATAAGGTGGGTTTTTTTATTAAAAGGGATACTGCTAGCCAGTTTCAGGATCAACATGCACCTAATTAATGTGTTTTGAAAAGCCTATGGTAATATGTGTCAAAATGTTTTCATAATTTTTTAAAATTTCCTTGAACATTTATTTATTATGTAAACATCTGCTATCAGTGCCATGAATTTAAATAATAACCAACAGAATAATAGCCTAGTAAAATGAGGGCCTGATTCAGTCTCTAATTGCTACTGTAATATAAATGTTTAAGAATAAGAATACTTAGGGCTTCCATGGTGCTTTCATAACTTCAGAGCAATTTGCAAACATTAAACCTCACAAAATCCTAGTAAGCCAGAAAAGTAAATATTTCCATTTTACAGAAAGAGAAACGAAGGCCCAACAGTTAACTGGTTTGCACAAGGTTAGAAGGAGGTAGTGGTGGTACTAGGATTGAAATTCCAGAGTTCCTTGCTAATAATCCTGTGCGGAGACCACTAGATATTTGACATCTGCATTGTGTTATTGCATGAGAACCTAAAACTGAAACTAGCTAATAATAAAAATTGACATTTTTAAAGGAAAGTGTTATGGATCAATCTGCTCTTATTGTCTGAAGATGAGTAAAAAGCATAAATTGTGAAAAATGAATTAGAGATTTCAATTTTTTAAATTATATAAAGTGTTAATAGTAGTAGAGTTAAGGACATTCTTTCTTTTTAAATGAAATACAAATGTACTAAAATTCTTGCTTTTGTGGCTTAGACCTAGTTTAGGCAGAGAAGTTTGTATGTGTGAGAGGGGGAAGATCTCGTATCTGATGTTGACATTTTCCTTTATATCTCAACATTTTCAGTGAGCTCCTTCGTGTCTAATGTTTTCTAGATAGCAAGTGACTTCAGGCAGGGACAGTGTCCTTCCTTTGAATGTGAGTGCCTAACACACTGTCAACACTTAGCAATAAATCATAAGAATTAATAATAGTGAGATTCTTTACTTCCACTCCTTCCAAATATTCACCTTTTCTTTTATATTAATTCCCTACCGGGACAGGAGGGGGAATACAATGCTCATATATATATATATATATATATATATAAGCCATTCACTTCTTTTTAACCATTTCCCCTGCCATTCAAGCTTTTTCCCCCTCTAAAAGAAACAGCAATTTTTTTCAAAAAATGAAACATTAACTTAACCTGATCTATTTCCACAGGCATAACTCATTCTGTGATTATAAACAAAGTTTTCTGAAGGAACTTGTGTAACTGTTTTTTCTTTTCAAGAAGGGAGTGTTCTAGAAAATATCATGTGCAGTAATTTGTCCAAAAATATCAACTTTTCTTTGGTCTCCATATGTATGATTTTTATTACTCAAATTGTTTTATCTGGTTTCCATTAACTATGAATTGTTGAGTAATTTTTGTTACACCTGGCCCGGTGGATACTGGCAGCATGATATTTGTCAATGTGTTGAAACTTCGGTATCTTTAGGACACTCTGAAACTGCACTGCGCAATGTGTGCTTGAAGTTAATATATGACACGCTACATTTAAGATGCATTTAACAATAGAAAAATATTTGTGTAAGCCAGAGTGTTGTGCAACCTTTGTCCTTTTGCCAAAAATAAGTTAACTGTTATGTTTTATAACGTATGAAGTGTGATAATAAGAAACTTGTGTTTCCATCTCCCTTTTTATTTTTACTGGAATATTTGATTCCCACAAGATTTCAAGCACATATGTGTAGTTTAGTAGCTAGATCATTTGGTTTTATTTTTGTATAGTTCTTTTGTGATATTCCTTTATTATATAAATTTTTGGTTTGGTCTTAAATTCACTGCTTTTTATGAACCTTTCATTGCTCATGTTTTACTGTTCTGATCTGGAGCTTAACGTGTTGTATATATTCTAGCAGTTCACTAGTTTTTATATCCTTAGTGAATATTTAGCAGGTTTAATTTTTGGTACTTAGTTTAAAACACTGTCATAATCTAACCAAATATTGTCCTCTTTATGAACAGGGATGAGAGAAACCTGATAGAATATGCTGGCAGGCATGAAAGGGAAGAAGTGAAATCTCTGTAGCATTGCCCTTCTGCCTCTCTTGCACTCCATGGTTCCTCGTCATCCAGAACTCTGGAGGCTTTAAGCTGTGCTAGAGTTTGACATCAGAGCTAGGAATAGGTTGGCGGTATTGTCAGGGATCACCCTATCACCACAGCAGCATCCCTTGCTGGCCTCAGTCCTCTTGTCAGAATTCCAAGTAGGAGTTTCTCTCTGTGTCCTCTGTGTGATTGCTACTGTGTAGTACGGGAGACTCTGCCAATGGTATCTCCAATGAGAAAAGGGGCAATGCAGGGGTGGGAATGACCCTCCAAAGGACTGCATTTTCCCTTTTCTCCAGATGCTGAGAATCAGTATAAATGGACAGACAGTTAGATGACTGGCCTGGTTTATGGGTATGTATTTAAGAATAGTCAAAAAGTACCCAAAGCAAGGAATAGGCTTTCCTTGTTAATGAATGGATGTATAAGTCTAAACAAATCAATATTTTTTTGAATCCTGCTAATCTCTCGGCCTCAGTGATAATTTGTGATGGTGAGATCCACAGATTAATTGTGCACTGGGTAAAAAGAAAAATGTGATTCCTTTTAGCAGTTTGTTCTGCTGCCTCTTCTTTTTTATTTGGATGTCCCTATATATAGAGAGAGAACATGGGACAAGCCAATTTACCTTCACTGTGCCAGTCATTCCTTTGTGTTCATAGATTCTAAGGCCAGAAGGAGCCACTGTGATAATTTATTCTGACCTTCTGCATGACACAGGCAATAGAACTTCTCTTTGAACTAGAGCAAATGCCTTTACCCTGGTAGTCTTCTCCAAACAAAACAGACCCAGTCTTTTCGTGTGTGTGTGTGCGTGCGTGTGTGTGTGCGTGCGTGTGTGTGTGCGTGCGTGTGTGTGTGCGTGCGTGTGTGTGTGTGTGTGATGATGATGATGACCAGAACTGAACACAAGTTTGAAGGCATCATTGACTGAAAACATTGTTATCCCATTCCATGTGCAAATTACCCCCAGCTCTTTATCCTGAGTGGTTACAGCTCATTCAGAATCCAGCAGCGTGTCTGAGTATTTCAAATTGTTCCTTCCAATATATCGTACGTTACATTAGTCAACATTGAATTCACCCACCCTGATGCAGTCCAATAACCCTGCTTTGTTGAGTCTCTCTGAAGTTTATCATCTTGACTAACTTAAATAATTTTGTGCCATATGCAAATTTTGTTGCAGTTCATGCCCTTTTTCAGATCATTAATAAATATATCAAACATGGCTAATATGGATTGTTGGGCACCTCACAGTTAACCTTTTGCCATGTTGAAAATTGATAATTTTTACCCATTCTTTGTTTTCTCTCTCTTAACTAGTTTCCAATGCATGAGTGAACTTTGCCTCTCACCCCATTATTAGTTGCATTTCTTCACAGTCTGAGGGACTTAATAGTCACAGGGTGAGGGATTTTATCTAAAACTTTGAAAATCCATATGCATCGTTTCAACCAAATCTCCTGTGTCCATTATTTATGTATGTATTTTATTTATTTTTAACGCATCCAGAAAAAACGAGTAGATAAGAGAGACACAATTTTCCTTTACAAAAGTCACTCTCTGATTATTTATGATCATATTATGCTCATATAGATATTTTATCATTCCCTTTAATTTACCTGGTACTGAAGGAAGGGTTATTGGCCTACAATTCCAAGGTTGTTACTATCTTCTTTTTTCTTTTTCTTTTTTTAATAACATGATATATATTACCCTCCATTCTTCCACTTTAGGATCTGCCTTTAAGCCCAAGAAATCCAGCAGTTCTTGAGAGCATTTAGGATTAAAATCAAATTTGGGCAACCAAAATGAATTCTTTCAAGTGGAATCTTCTGTATCCAAAGATTGGCCAGTCCAGCTGCCATGCAAGACAGAATGCCTGGTGTCAGCTACATTCCCTTCAAATCTCAGTGCCTCCTTGATATATCTTTTCCTCTTGTATGTGCCTGCCTTTATGTGACACGTTCATTGGAAGAGGACACCTTTGCCCATACCCCTTCTGATGAGACCTCCAGAACCTCCTTAGCCTTTGCCACTCTGTTTAATGGCTTAGGGTTTTGCAGTCTTTTAGGGCAGACTGTAGCAAATTGCCTGGACAACAATCTTTATTAAAAAATACGGAGAAAATTATAGTAAAAGAAAATAAATGGTTCGCATAACAATATATATAGATTTGCACTCATAAACTAAGTGAAAGCATCAATTAGAAATAAAAGAAGCAGATGGGGAAAAGGGGGAAAAAGCAATTACCAGTAATTTAAATTAGAATCTATAAAGTATAGAAAATTGGGAAGCTGAAGATATCAGAGAAAAATGAGTGGCTGGGAAGGCTAAGGCCAATGAAGAGGAGTTTTAGTGTACTA